GCGCGGCATCCGGTCTGATGCACAGTGAAGACCCCGATCACTCGGAGTGGGCAAGCGGTGCGTGAGGTTCGTCACGGCCCCTCGGGGCTGGGACGGCTTCTCCGCCAACGCTTGCGGCTGTAAGACCCATCCAGTCGCGAGCGAAGGTGCGTCATCTCTCACCTTGAGAATCAAAAGGTTCCGTAAGGCCACGTGCTAAGTACGAACGATAAAGATTGTCCTTTTAAGGACGATAGAATATTTGGGAACGTATGTCCTGTAAAGAAACAGCGTGCAATTATTATCGAAATGGTTTGCGATTTTTGAAAATAAATTGAGTGTAAAGGGGGCCTAGGACGGACTCCTTGGGAGACACTGGAATTAATCTATACACAACGTGTTTGGTAGGGTTATATTTCGAATGTAAGGTTTCTTTTTGAAAGATATTCATTTATTTTTATATTATTTTATTGTGTTACAGGTACATCATTATTTTCTGATCCAACTAGGCTTCTTGGTAAAGAGTAAAATAATTAATGAACGTAGATCATGGACATAAAAACAAAGCATTTCTTAATTTGTTTGTAAATTCTGTATGTATTATGTAATCGGTTTTTTATTCACTTGTTCCAGGGTGTAAATAAATTCTGTATAGGGCAAGGGACATCGGAAAAGTAATTACATGAGGAGTGGCGTCGATGCATTCCGGCCCTGATTAACTCGGGGGTTGTTCCTCCAATTTGAAATTAATATGGATTATGGCCCGATCGGTAATTCCAACTGCTGAGGATGAGAAAGATGAGGAAACGACGAGCACACCTTCCAAGTCTTTGGTCTATCTCGGCCCTGAAATATTACCAGGTGAAACGAGATCAGCCACTGACTAATTTCTCGTCTGAGCCAATCTCGTAGGCTAAACTTGAAGTAATTTGTTCCGCAGGGGATTAATCAATACGGTATGCCGACGCTCTATTTTGGAATAGAACAAATTTGAATTTGTTGTCAGCAGATGGATTAGTTATTGTTCGACTCGCGAGTAGCTTGGTATAACTTCGCTAATTGAAATTTGACGGAATGGAAACGGAGCACATGTCTACCTTACTGAATCACTTGTAAACACAAATGAAAATGCATGAATGAAATCAATGTTGTCGTTATAAACAATTGTGATAAAATAAAAGGTAACATGTACGAATCAATAAAACGCACCTGGACAGGTTTGAGGGTGATAAGGAAGTGATTGCTAAATCATTCAATTGTAAGTATTCCATCTATTCAGCAGCATAGTAATTATACTGTAAAAGAATTTAGAATATAGGGTAAGAGATTGAGGTATCAACCATACGAGAGCAATTCAAAAATATTTTGGTAAGATTACATAAAATACAGATTGAAAGAAGAGACTAAGAACTTTACTGGTTTCTTCACAAGGATTTTAACAAGAATGGTCAGTCAGTCAAAACTGCGCCGATTCTTCAAAAAGGCAAAAGAAATCTCAAAAAGACGCAAAACCTTTGAAGTAATACAACGTAATATACAACATATCCGGGTCTTATAAGAATGTCGATGAATTAGGACTCATCGGTGTCCTACAGCTGTCTACAGGTACACAACAGGAGAACATAATAAAATAACCACGAACAAATAATGCAGTCAATTAATTTAACTCATCAACATCGTACAGTCTATGGTATCCAACGAGAATATCTTGATGATGGAAAACGTCCAAATAGGAAGTATCAGCCATATGGACAACTACTTGAAACCAGTTGTCAGAAAATCTGCAAATTTTCTTATATGAGTTATACATGTATGTAGTTAGATCTTTCGATGCTTGCTGCTTTGCTCTACGTCTCGAGATAGTGTTATCTTCGAAAACAGTTCGATGCAGCTGTGGCCGTGGATGACCAACAAGATTTCATGTACGACTCAGTAAATTTCTAACTGTAGCCCCGATGGGTAACTTTTGAGCGGGTCGTTCGCGTCAAGAAATATTATTTAGCAGAATTGAAAATGAGCCCAAAATAGAGCGGTTTCAATAAACGTGCCTTCACTTGGCATTTATTTTTTCTTGGAAGAAATAATAGTATATAATTTAATTAAACAGTTATCACGGATTGATAAAGCTCGTTGTATTCAATGGTCATGTCTTTGAGCAATCTTCGGCAAACCAGTACTGATTAAAACGAAATGTTTGACAAACCATACATAATGGTAGGTGGATCAGAAATATCAAAGACTATACAACTGTACCATGTTCATTAAATATTTTAAATTCCTCCTCTACCAGCTCTTCATCTTTCTCCATTAAAAAACATCCAACAATATTAATAGAAATATGTGGTGTTTAGTGACTGTTAGTTAATGATTATTTGGAGATCGTGAGGTGAGGTCTGGAGTGACATAGATTTTAGAAAAAACATTTTCTTTATCCTGCCAACCTTTCGATCTTTATTGAAATCACCTTCAGGGCTCAAAGTGTTTGTTTTCCGTGTAGATGTGTTATTCTTCTCGTTGAGAGTGCTCATATAAATATTAATAGATCTTTTTGCCACATAAAAAAGGTTTTTCCTTCCTTTTCGCTACTTTTAAATTGAGATTATGTGATTATGGTCGCACACGGTAGGGAATTCTTATATATTTTTTCTCTAAATTCTTATTATTTCTACTATTATTTCTATTTATCTACACAGAAAACAAACACTTTGAGTGAGTACAAATACTTTGATTGAATCTAAAATTTCTTGCATTGTATAAATTCTTTTTTCACATGCTACATGTATTTGTAAATTTTAAACAATGTTTTTAAATCCCAGTCCCTGAAGATGATCTCAATAAAGATCGAAAGTTGGCACGATAAAGAAAATGTTTTTCTAAAATCTAAGTCTCACAAGACCACATCTCACAATCTCTAAATAATCATTATTTCTATTTGTTATCTATTTATAATATGATTTATTTCACTCTATGATAACGTCAAACCTTCGTTAATTCGTTTAAATTTGTTTTAAAAAAATGTAGCATTATTGTTAATCTTAGAGAACCCTCTTCCCAGAGTAAAGTATTTTCTCTTTCTATCGTTCATTAAATTCTGCAAGATTTATATTTATATTTACATTGGTCGACATTTTATAACTGATGGAATTAGAATTTCCTTTTCAACAAGATACCCGTCCTCAAAAGGCATTCTGTAAGAGACTTGACGATCTCAAACCAACCCTGTCTTACTCTCCAGACCACATAAAATAATTCTAGCAGGTAGACGCATTACTACCATCGGAGGGAATTCAGCAACAAGGTAACAACAGAATAAGTACGATTGTTTTTGTTATTCGTCATATCTTAATACAATAAAACAATAATTCTAAGACAGCAGTTTTTTTTACACTGGACGGTAGTATATGTTTTTCTTTGAATTTAGTGATGGGTTCGATTGAACCAAGGCTTCCAGCCACATCGTGTTTAGAAAAATTTCTCCATTGACATATTGAGGCTTTTTTTTCTTCTAACTATTGGGCCTGAATTAGACTCAAAAACTGAAGGCAGCACCCAGCCTGCAAACAATGCTTTTCAATTTTCTATTGTGACCTTACGTTCCTGTTTCAATCACGGTCTGTCAAAATGGGAGTCATGGCCCCCTAATACCTGTTGTCGCAGCTGAGTTCCATCAATTTGTTTCCCCGAGGACAACGGATCTCGACAGCATTAATCACGTTCGTCATGACCGTCATCGTTCATGATCGGCCACGTCGCTTTGCGGAGGGCCGCACGCCCGTAACCGCGACGTCGGTATTGTACGATTGTTTTCCCGATTTCCGCCCCGTTTTCAGGTTAATTAAAGAAAACCCCGTGTGATTTATGGCAGGCGGAGGTTTCGGGGAACAAAAGAACCGTTCAATGTTTGCCTTCGTTCCAATGCTCGGTCCTCGCTTGCGAAGTCGAACAATGTCCGTGACTCATCCCGTCGATTGTTTATACCGCTCTCAGGTTGCTTTTTGAAAAAATCCTTTTGTCATACAATTAATAACTACAATCTTCTAAATGCTTTTCTACTGTTCAAACAGATTTTTCCTCGCATAAAAAGAATTATTAATGGCCTGCTCAATTTCCCGCCTTCAAATGTTTGTTTAAGCTAATCTCACAAATGAAAATATTAGCGCGATCACTTTGCACTACCATTATCAATTTTACCACAACTCATAAATTAAAAAATATACCATAATTTACTATCTGGCAAAAACAAAACACATTTCGATGTCCTGGACTTAAATAAAAACTTCAAGAAACGTTCGCGTCTGCTAATATTTGTATATTTTTAGTCCAAGCTTAATTCCAAATTCCACCATTTATAATCGTATAAAGGAATCACCATGTTAGGTTTTGCTTTATTTAATTTTTTTTTTAAATATAGGTCAAACCCGAGTAATATTCAAGCCGCCTAAATTTTTGAAATATTATTCATATACAATAATTATAATTTATGAATAATTACAAATTAATTTTTTTATTATTTCAAAGATTTATAGCAAATACAATGCAGGTCGTTATTAATCGGATTGAATGAATATATTTATTAGCATTGTTAGACAAATGAGTTAGTATGTGTGTTAACTTAATTTCTTAAACATATAATTAAAGAAGAAAAAGTTTCGAAAGTAACATACAAATATAATATTCACTCTAAAATAATTATTTAAAAAATTACATAAAATGTCCGTAGTAAAATGAATTGAATGTGTACTGCTAATACTAATTTGTATAAATATGTTTTTTGTTTATTTTTCTGAGGTATAAAACTATTTGTGAGCTCACAACTTCTGATCTCAAGGCAAGGTAAACATACTGAAAGCACGCTGTTCATTTTACATTATTTTCTACATTACCATTTAATTTTTTTCAGAATAATGTATTCAATGTACTGCAAACAAATTTATTTTTGACTTTTCAATTTTTTCTTTTAAAATTCTCCGAGCTATTCTAGCAACTTTTAATAACTGTAAGAACGATATAAAGAAATTTACCTGCTGCTTGGTGATGTAAATTGGTTTGTTTAGTATGACCCACGTCAGCGTCTCGTGGCACGGTGGCATCGTCGTACTGCCGTCGTACGTCATGTAGTACTCTGTGTCGGGTAGCAGGCCCATAACTGACAGCCGACGCACTTCTACCTCTTCGCCTACACCAGAGCAGAAACAACTCAAATAGACAACAGCTTTAGCCCCGGCCGGCATCCGATTTTATATTCAAGTTTTAGAAAAGAAAAACGGAAAAGTTCAAAATCGAATGCCGGTCGTTTCTTGCGTTATTTTTCAATTTAATTGAAATGGCTTACCAGCATAGCGGATTTTATCCAGATTGTCTGTTAGTATCCTAAGCTCTGGATTAGACAAATCCCCCAACTGAAAGATAAATATCTGAAATTACTATATTTTCACTGATATAACAAATTACAAAAACTAGAATATATACATGTAAATGTTGAAAATCGTATCCAATAAATCATTAATTTGTGTATATATATTACAATTATAAAATATACCAAGTCAAATAGAAAAGAAATGGCAAGCAAAATAAAGTGTTTTTTCCAACCTTTCAACTTTATCAACAAACTTGACTAAAATATAAGTTTATTATACAGGATGTCTTTTTTAAGATTAAGAAAAGATTGATTTATTTTCCATAATTTTGTACAATATATTGACATATTTATGATTTTTTTTACTTTTTTTTATTCCATGTTTATTTTTAGTTTGGACCATCCTTGCATGGAGTGGTGTGGCTAATGTGTACATATATTTTTATTAATTTTTGTTATATTGTTAATAATTTTTTTTAATTTAAATTCACTAATTTCGTGGTCCGCTTGACCAAGTAATATATTAAAATTAATTAAGGTTTTTTGTTGAGATAAAAAAGTCAATAGCACGAACACACCTTTTGAATTATGGCAAAAAGGAGGGAAAATTCAAAAGGTGGGGTTGAGATGGGAATTTGGTGTCCAAGTGGATCAAGGTCACGATAGCTCAAGCGGTAGAGCAGCGGCGTATCAAGCCGAATATCGTGGGGTTCGAATCCCGCTCGTGTCATTGACTTTTTTATCTCAACTAAAAACCTAAATTAATTGTGATTATTTTTTATATTATACTTTTTAAATTTTACTATTATAGGTGTGTGTATGAGTAGTGAAGTTGTTAAATTAATTAAATCGTATTGAAACAGTTTACTACGGATTTTTCTTATCATTTTTTTCTATAAATATTTAAATTTAGGTTTTGGATAAGGCCATATAGAATTTCGACTTATATATTTTTTATCGTCGGTAATTTCATTCTACTTCCAATTCCTCTTGTAACACATATGTTTTGAAGTAATTTACCGTTTTCTGTGTATAGTTATATACATAAATTTTTCACCTAGATTTTACATATGCTACAAACTGCATTTTTTGGAGGGAGGTCGGCTGCAACGTTTAGGCGTTTACACGGCGCTTAACACTGTAAGGTAAAGGTTCCGGGTTCGATTCCAGCGGCCCTGCATTCAAATCCGTCATAATTACAAATGATTTTTTTTTAAAGCACCGGTGCCCCGAAGGTTCAAACAACCTCGACGTTGAAATACCCTCTTAAAAAATATCCTATTTCTTCTAATAATATTTACTTGTATATCTGATTTTTTTAATTGTCTCTTTTGTAGGATATAAACTGGCTGAACAATATGTCTAACCGTACCCTCAAGCTGTAATTCCAAATTGCAATACTGATTGGCAATCGGTTGTGTACTAATTTTTTTAGCTTAGATGTTAATTTGTTACAGATCGCCCGACTGAATTTCTCATGAACAGATAAGGTTATCGAAAACCCAACAGTAATTTATTTTTGTTAATTTATTAAATTTATTTTTCTGTTACAAAGAGTTTAAAAAATAGGCATTTAGATTTTGAAATTTCTATTACATTATAATGTAAATAATATAAAAAGCAAACAGAAACAACTCTTTGGTAAAAATTGAACATACGAAAAAAAAAATTCAAAAAATGAAAATAAATGTTCCACATTTATTGAAGAATGCAAGCCTGACATCGTTTCCTGAAAAATGTTGAACATTTAATTTAATTTTCTTGATTATGTAAATACTGACAGATCTGCCGTTTACAGAAACGATATTTATATTTGCTCAACCGCTTTTCTTACATTGCAAGGATGTTTTATCATACAATGTCGGCTTTTCATTTATCAAGGATTTCTCCTCAATCTTGCTAAATCCATCGTTAGAACGTGTAATCCGTACTTTGAACTGTTTTTCGATTACTCAGCAACCAAATCGAAAATTTCATACAGAAAACTTTCTTCACCCTTGTCGCAAATAATCCAAGAAATAGAAACCTTGAATGCATTGGTAAAAGAGTTATCTCATAAATTTCCTCTCGACGTTTCAGTACTAAAGAAAAAGTATAACTTTTCATAATATAATACAGTAATAAGAAAGTAAACAATTTATTGTTTTGAAAACTTTTAATATAGGGAGATTGTACATCGATCGAAAATCAATTGTACCAAATCCAACTGCATTTAACCATAATTCGATTGAAAACAATCTTAGATCGTGTAATTTAAACAGACTTATTCCAATTCTAGCAAAATTATTTGGAAATAACCATAACAAGAAGAACATGAAGATACAATGGATAGGAAATACATTTTTATTGTTACACGATCAGTTGTACAAATGTGTGAATTAATTAATCAATAAAAAATAATAGTTATCGTAAGTGTTTTTAGATTGTTATTAGATTTCTTTGAGGTCTGCGAAACGTTAAGTACACAGTTTGGATATTTCCGAAAATCTCGGCCTAACTTTCGTAACAAACTTATCCACAATAGTTAGTAAACGATTAAAGCCTACTTGTAGACTATGTTTGTTACTGTATTATTTTTCAGTGACACACTACTGAGTGCTACTATTGTTGATACGGGGTGTAATAGTAATAAATTGATAGAAAATTCCTATTCGGTTTGGTAATCAAAGAGCTCTACATCTTATTAAAATAAGTAGGCTGGAAACATTATTAGTCAAAGAAAGGGTTAAATGGAAGAAGAAAACGATAGGAATCTACCGAAAAAATTTTCAGTACGTCCAGATAATGAAGACGTAGCCCGATTTAATATTAATCCTTAAGTTTTCATATTTTTTTCCCTAATAATTTTTGTATTACGTTTTTATAAAGAACTATTTTATCATTTAGTTGACTGATTAATTAATTATAGCTTATAATTCTGCCCTAAACGCATGCCAGACCAACACTTCTGCAACATTCACAAGCATTGTGGGTTTAGTATGCAGGGTGACCGATTTTACAAACTTTCTTTAGGAACCAAATTTCTCCTTAAGGAACATTTTTCGGTCCAGAAAAATAAATTTTTAATTTTTTTTTATTAAACAAATATATTTCAACATAATAAAACTGGCCCAACGAGATTCCGAGTTAGAGAAAGCTTTTCGTACTCTCGTCGTTCTTATGTCGAAAACGTCCTTCTAAACTAAAACCTGCTGCAACGGAATCGGGGTTTAATGGTTTTTGGGCTTAAATTGGCTGGCAACAAGAGAAATTCTATTTCAAACAGAAAATCGCTTCTGCTGAATAGGAGTATTTTAAACATTTAGATCATATTGAAACGATATGATCTATCTTATACATCTTGTTTGACTCTTTTGTCATTTTTTTAGAACAATAATAAGCAAAATAATTTTAATGAGCAAATTTTTAAAAAATACCCAAGGCAGTGAAAAAAATTTGTTTGTATTAAATGCACGAGTAAAATGTTTTCAAACTTTACGTTATTGCCAAAAATTTACGATTCGTGTTGTAATAAGAAAAAGGATAGTTGTAATCATTCAAAAACATTTAGGGAAAATGATACCGAAATATACTTTAGGCCTATGTTATTTTAGATTTGAGTCTACACATGCTTATATGGGAGAACATAATTCAAAAATGATATTATTAGAATACTGATACAAAATATGTAAACTTGTAAGTACACAATATAAATACCAGGGTGGTTATCTGTCAACTAAAAGTAAACTGCATCTTGTTTGTTTGTTTACGAAGTTGTCATTGCTAATTAGTTTGACAAACATAACTTGTAAAAATAGGCAGAATAAGATTTAGGGAAACGATAACTATGTCTGTCTATATATTTTTAATATTATATAATTAACGTGATTAAAACTTTTTAATAAAATTTTATTAAGGTCGGTGGCTGCAACGGTTTAGGCGTTGACCAGCGCTCATCACTGTAAAGTAAAGGCCTCGGGTTCGAATCCTGCGACCTTGCATTCGAATCAGACATATTTACAAACGGACTTTTTTTTAAAAAGCCGGCACCCTGAGGTTATTTATTATTATTTTTACATATCTTATTTTAACTAAATGTATGATTTAACATTTTGAAAACGGAATATTGAACGATAAAAAATTTAATTTTTAAAATAGTTATTTTAAAATCATACAATTGTAAATAAAATATATTATGTACAATAACTGCAAAATTGTGTTGTTTTTTCTCGGCTAAATCATCTTTAAAGCTTTGGCGAAAATTTATGAAAATAATAAGAAAAAAAGAACAGCTGCAAGTAGATGAAATACCCTCTTAAAAATGTCCTATTTCCTCAAATAATATTTCAATGTATATCTGATATTTTTTTGCATTTTCAGTCATCTCTTTTGTAGGATATAAACTGGCTGAACAATTTATCTATATCTACCCCAAGCAGTAATTCCGAATTGTTTTAGATTGGAAAAGGGTTGTACATATTAATTTTTTATTTTAGATATTGTTTTTTACTGATGACAAATTTCTCTTGAACAGATAAGGTTATCCAAAAACTATCTATTAAATATTTTTTATCTAGTTTTTAACGTTTATCTTTTTTTTAAAATATTTATTGCCAGAAATTTTTATAACCCGTCAAACTTCGACAATTTAAATTATAAAGTTTTTATTACTGAACATATTTATTTTCTGTTTTGGTGTTAGTCGTTTGGAATGATGTTGATGTCTTCCTAAGATTGTGTACGCACGTTTGTTGCTCTGGATATTCTAACAAGACCACTGAGAGTAGAATTATCAACATTATTCCAAGAAATTCATAGGTATTTTCAATTTGGTTCTTAATTTTTTTCTTTGTTTTGTCAATGAATTTTTTGGTATTGCTTATACAACAGGTCCTATTGCATTTAGATTACATAAATAGCATTAGAGCTAAATTTCCACTTTTAATTATCTCCATGTACTTTAAATATTCTTCAATAAATGTTTATCAGGTAGTCAAAATGAGCCGAAAGGTCGATATGTACGATATTTTCGTTGTAATTGGCGGGATTGTTTGTCGTGCAGTG